AGGTCTTCCCCTGTTCAGTAGTAATATTCATTGCAAGCTTATCCTACAACAAGATCACGGTGATTCTTATCATCAAACAAAACCTATTAAAACACAATGCAAATACAACATAACAACATATGACAAAAAACTCTAGCATGCTTACCATGTCTCTACGAATAAGCTCTTGTAGCTTGAGCATGACGCGCTGACGGGTCGTAATTGGTGTGTTACGCCACCCTGGAAAAGCCTGCTTTGCTGCAGAGACTGCAGCTTTGAACTCTTCATTTGTCGTCAAAGGAATTTGTGATACAACCTCTTGTGTTGCCTATCCCCAAATGTCAATCCGTTAAACCCAAAACGAGCAGCAACTTCCAAGCATAAATTCCATAACCGAAAAATAAATTAAGCATAACAATATCATATACTCACAGGATTTATCACATCAATGGTTGAAGATGATTGCGAATCAACGAACTTTCCTCCAATAAGATTGGGGACTCTCTGATACAACACCCAATCATCAAAAAATCTTGTATAAATTAGATACGATAAGTAAAGTTTCTCAAGTTTTGGAGAACTTTCTAAGAAACTAAACAGAAGATGAAGCACAGCATATGCACCGTGTGTATGCGTATGTATGTATAGATTTATACTCGGTAAATTACCGGAGGGCTACGGAGGCTTGAAGAAGGCTCAACAACACCAGTAGAGAAATAACAAGAGCTTCTTAAAGCAAAGATCGAAGGCTTGAAGGCCTTTAGATTTCTCACTGAAAACACCAAAAAAAGATCAAAATAAATCAAGCTCAATTCATCACAGAACTTAAATAGCTGATTGATGATCGGTTACGAAATCATATGGCGCAAGTTTTTTACCACGTTGAATCGAAAATTGAAGAAGCAACATCGTTTTACTTGTTCTTTTTTTTTCCGGTTTTCTACTTTGATTCAATGATTTTGACGATGCTGTTTTAGGAGAAATGCTTGTTTTATTAAGAGGATATTTGTCCGTTTTTTACTACTCTGAGCTAGCACGAGTGATTAGTGTTATGACTACTGAGTACTGACCAGCGGACGGGCGAAATTTGAAGAAAATGATTTGTTGGGATGTGACCGTTGGATTGGAGTTGGGTGTTATCTGACAGTGGAGATTCGAAAGTTATTTTAAAATATAGGATCAGGAGTAGGTACGTGCTTACATTAGCAACGTTTTCCTGATTTGAGCCAAGATTTTAAGCATAAAAACATGATATTATCATATTCTAATAATTATTTAGCATATCAAGAATTATGTTCTTTATTATCACAAAAATATAAAATTTATTATTTATAAAAAATTGAAATTTGTGATTATTTTTATAATAAAATATATGTTTTTTCAAAGAATTTTTAACATATTTAACAATTCCCCGATTAGATACTGATTTAAAAAGAAAAAAAAAAGATAAAATGCAGAATTGAAAATTTTGGAAAAGAAAATTCTTGGTTGCTCGTCTTCGTCGTCCTTATCCGATTGTGATGCTGTCTATTCTTTTATTATACTAAGGAAAAAAATAAAAAATAAAATTGTCCTAATCCGCAGGGAAATTAGTAACTCACAACTAGAGAAGAAAAGTAAAAATGATTACTCCCTATTATTAACATATTGTATTTTTTTAAGGCAATATAGTGCTACACATCAGAAGAATGTTTTTTTTTTAATAAGTTATTTTTATATAATTATTTTACAGGATCTATTTATTGAGAAAATATTAATTATTAAATTGATATTTTATACATTAAATAAGAACTTTTCACAAAGAATTTTTTACTTTTATTTTTTACACACATTAAAAATGATATTAATTATTATATTATATCAATATCTTTTGTTAATATTTTTTGAATTTTTTAAATTATTAGTTGTTAAAATAAATTTTAATTAAAAATATTTTTTAAAAAAAATACACTATACAAAGTTGTTTTAAAAAAAACACACACACATGCATAGCTCAATGTGCTCATCGGTCTTGCCCTGAGATGTGGATCATCCAGGACACATTAATATGACGTACTTATCTTATTTGAATAAGGACTTGAAACTAAACTTTTTCTCAGAATGACAGATAGACAATTCAGGTGAGATCCTATATATATATATATATATATATATGCACACGACAGAATGAATAAATTTTATCAATAACTTTAATAAATCTATAAGTAATATTTTTTATGAATAAATTCTGTAAAATAATTATGTCAACATAACACCATTCTTATTTTTTTCTTTAAAAAACCAAAAGAATCTGGTTGGATTAAGAGGTTGATTTGACAGCACGTCTCCACTCTCCAATAATCTGCTGCGTTATGCTACTTCCTTAACAATAAAGAAATTAGAAATCCTCTGTTTCTTAGCATTCGGCAAATTTATCCACATTGAAGGACTGGAAGGAAGAGTGTTTTTTGTGCTAAATCTTCGGTTCGATTTTTTTTTTCAAAAAAAAAAAACTGACCTCCCTAAAATCTGACGAGGAAAAGCGATCCAAAATGGCATTCAATCCAAAAAAAGAAACATTTCATCTCATTTTGTCTCTTTATATAATGTATTGATTTAAATGACGAGTATATTCTAAAAATATCTTCTTCTTTTTTTTTTGGAAAATATACAAATTCTTATATTAGAAATCATTTATGTTTCTCACTCAGCTCTCAACAAATTTATCCAGTAATCCACGTTGAATTGCTGGAAAGAATAATGGTCGTGTGGTAAATTTTCTGTTCAAATTTGAAAGAAAACTGGCCTACTTGAATTCTGATGAGAAAGGGTGATCTAAAAATGCTTTAACTATTGTAAAGGAAAAAAAGAAAAAGAAAAAAAGAAACTATATACATTTTAAACTCACAAAAAAAAAAGTAATACTAAATCTATTTGCTGTCTGCCAGATTTCCAATTATTTCTATTATTTAGTTGATTAACATAAAAAGCATATTCTAAAAATATCTCTATTTTGAGAAATGTACAAGTTCGTTTATTTTAAAATAGAATTATAAGCAATCAAGCAAATGAGGGTTTTTTTTTTTTTTTTCATTTGCTTAGACGAATATTGTAAAACGTTTCTAAAAAGAAATATGAATAAACAAATTGAAATGGAAGAGTAGCATACTATGGAAATCGGGAATTGCGGGTTAACTGTAAGTACCGTCTCTATACTGTAAACAATTAATTAATCAAGTTTTTATTTCAATTTAAGTATTAATTGAATTTTTATATTGAATTAATTTGTTTAATATGGACTATTTGTTAATGATTTCACTGATAGTACTAAGCAAATGACATAATTGATCTCTCTTTTTTTTTTTTTTTAATTCTATCTCTCTATTTTTTTTTTTCATTTTAACTTTGTTTTTTTACGTTTGGTTTTTATCTTAATCATGTTATTCTGTTAATTTTTTAAATTAATAGTGTTAAATAGCATCATTAGCATCAAAAAATTACAACACTTGTCAACTTTATTTTTTATTTTTTTAAATCTAGTCCCTCTTCTTCTTTTTTTAATCGAACTTAAATATACAAATTTTGAAAAATAAAAAAACGAAAAAAAGAACATAAAAATATCATTTATGGATTTAAATTTACTCTATGATAATAAGTAAATTTTGAGTATAAAATAAAATATTTATAGTATTATTTTTAAATATCAAGAGAGTTTTAGTTAAATTTTTGAACTTTTGAATGTATTTTAATTTTATAATACCTAAAAATAGTCTATTTTAATTCTTTTTAGTTTTACTTGTCATTCTTTCTAAAAAAACGAAAAAAAATAAAAATATTTTTTTATCAAAAATAGTCTATGGATTTAAATTTATGACTATGATAGTAAGCAAATTTTGAGTATAAAATAAAATATTTATAATATTTTTTAAAAATATCAGCAGAATTTTAGTTAAAATTTTAAACTTTTGAAAGGTATTTATAACTTATAATACTTCAAAAGAATCTACTATAATTTAGTTATTTTTTATTCTAATTTTTTACAAAAAATATTTATTGAAATTATTAAAAAAATTCGTTTGGAGGAATAATTGTTTTTTCAATTTTTTTTAATATTGTTTTCTGTAACAAAAAAAAAGGAAAAAAATAAAAAACTGACAGCGTCAACCTAGTCAAAAGACTCATATTGTTTGATTTTGTAATTTACTTTATCTCATCAGAATCACTAAGGAAAAACTTATATTAAACAAATTGATTCTATACATAAACCTAATTAATACAGGAACATGATTAATCAAGTGCCTGTAATACATGGACTGCATGGAAGGTAAACCAGGGAACTGCAATCCCACGCCTTATCCAGTTGAGCAAATTACAGAGGAAGCTAGCGACAAAGAAAGTAAGAAACCTTACTCACGCCCATTGGCCATCCCTACCAGACTCCATTAAAACCTAACATCCTGCATGTTCAAAGAGGGGGGCATTAATAGAACTCTCTCTTTTTGCTGTCCAGTTATTGGCCTATTATGAACAAAGAGAGGTCGAAGCAATGAAGCACGAATTCCTTTTCAAAGCGTCCCCATTCTAAAAGGCCACGGAAACAAATAACTGCAAATGAGAAAGAACCACGGTCATGACTTTACCTCGAGTTGTTAATTGCAAGTGTAATAGCTTCATTAAAGCATTATTTAATTGGAAATAACCTTATCACCTATAAACCTACACCGATTAATTTCTGGGAGCCATAACATCCCTGATGTTGCCTGTAGGCAAAGCCCATTTCTTACCCGTCAAATGTGTTATTGCACAAACATGTGATGGTAAGGCCGACTCTCATCCACAGACGGGGGTGCATGGAAGAAACATACAGGCAAACAAAAAGTATGAAACCACTCTGTGCCAGGACACGAAGACGAGATTGATTATAAACAAAAGGTATAATTTCGCCCTGGTCCAGGAAAGGAAAGAAAATTGATATTCATAATAATTTAGCAACTTATGTCTACTTTCTGTCTCTTCTCCCTGCTATTTCTGGAGCAGTCTATCTAGGAGCTTGGCAATGGTGAGCTTGGCAATGGCTGAGATGACACATCGCCGCTCACTAAATCTCTCCATTGTTGAGTCACTGTCTTAACTTTGGTGTAAAACTGAATTCCTGCTTTTCCTGCAGCAGTTTTAAAACTTCAGAAACTCTGATTCCCACAACGTGAAAGCTTTTCAGACAGGCAGCAATTCACATAGAAATCATCCACACAATGCATATTTACCATCTAAGTTCACATCTCCAGCAAAAGATGGTTTTGCGCTAATAAACGAGGAGAATGGTAGTGGCACTGCGATAGGAACATTTATCCCAACCTACAAAAATTCCAAGTCATGTCACAACATCAAATAATTAATGAATAGAGAACATCCTACCCTGGCTTTAAGAGCGAAAGGGAATTTTCTCAAACAAATGCTTCATATGAGCAAGAATACTGCAGAAACAAAAGCTTTGCAGATTGTAGTCTTGAAATTTCATTTAAAAAAAAAAAACAGAGCAACATGTTAGGACTCCTATAGTAAAACACAAGTCATTCAGATGAAGGTTTCACTGTGTCTTCATCTTTTACCAATAAAAGCAGATCCATGACAAGCTGCACAGGGCCATCTTACCTGCCCAACCTCAACCTCAGTCTGAAATTTCCTTGCAGTTACACCCGATGTTGTAAATATAGAAGCTCCATTGCTATATCTAAAAGACAATATCAGACATAAACCATGAGACAAGGACTCAAAACATTCTGATTCTATGTGTACTGAGGGAAGGTAGTAGTTGAGAATACTTATTTCCATTGACAATGTTTATGGCTTCTTCAATGCTATCAGCCTGAGGTAAAAGAAAAACATGTGTCAATGTCCTGGAATAAATAGCTGGTGAGACAGATAGGAGGATGAATGAGTAGCAAACCTGCATACAAAGAAGAACTGGGCCAAAAATTTCCTCCTGCACAAGCAATAAGCAGCATTTAGTTATGATACAGTCAAGCTTGCTGGAAACCATCCAAGGTCACTTCTGTAAATATCACATAATCTACCTTGTAACATTCCATGTTGACTGTGACATCCGATAAGATGGTAGGACCCATGAAGTTCCCATTTTCATATCCTGCAGCCTAGCATTGATGAATGAACTGAATTATAGAAAAAAGACCACCTTGATCCTTTAAAAACTCCAAAGCAGAAAAACAATTATTGGCAAGCTTCTCAGTATTGCTTAAAACAAATCACAGCATCTGTTAAAAATTCATAACCTTTATGCAGGATCCGTTAACTAATTTTACTATTTAAACCATGAAAATCATGTGCAGATGTAAATCAAACCAAATCATCCATGTTATTGTTGATAAAAAGAACACATCCTATAAATTCAAGCAAAATCTTGTCAAGAAAAGATGTAAGATCATAGAAGACAACATAAAACTAGATACCACAACATCTCTTCCATCAAGAACCAGCTTTGCACCACTTTGAATACTTGTTTGAATCAATGTGCATATTTGTTCTTTTGCCTGTTGAGAAAAAAAACAATTGTTTGAATCAATGTGCATATTCGTTCTTTTGCCTGTTGAGAAAAGACAATATTGATGAATAACAATAGTCACTAGTATCATATATGCATGAGGAATGTGAAGCTCTCAAAAGCCATAATATACATAACAGAAGCTGCAAAACTTTCTCTCTCAGACAACCCATAGATGATGGGGCATTTTCTCATGGGTAAAATTATTGTCTATCAATAAATTCTAATTACTATCTTTTTAGAATTGAAAACTTGATAGGTTAGGGATCTGACTCTACTATGCACCTGCTTACTAATAACTGGACCAAGCTCTGCATCAGGTTCCATTCCAGAGGTTACTTTAAGTGCTTTGGCATGCTCTACTAGCTTCTCTTCCCTGGCAAAAAGGTCTAGCTAACTCAGAGAAGGAAATGCCAGTATTCTCTGCTGAATCATAATTGAGAAAAAAGAAAGGAATAAATTTACAAAAGAATGTAACACCGTTGTAACATATCTGATATATTTGGCATTGTCCACTACCTTCTTTATGAGATAGATGCACCCAAAGCCTCACGAACATTTTGCTTTGGTCAAAGTTCTTTTAAGAGATTCATTTATTTTCAATCTCCTTAAAGTTCAAACAAGGTCCATTAAACTTGTAGGATATTACTATTCTATTCTTGATAGGGGTGTGCCTAGACTGGTACTTACGCAGCCAATAAATCATCTCCTAGACATTCCGTTGGAGGAAGTGGGTAATCAAAGACTTGATTGACCACCAACCACTTGTAAATACAGGGAAAAATCTAGGACCACTGACTTCCATAAAGTATCACTGTGACAGATGACATAAGTTGGTAGGTCAAAGAACAATGCTACACAAAGGCTTTCAACTTCTACTTCCAACAACTTTGATTCAGTTTTACCAGATTAATCCAAGGAATGTTTATTTTTTTAGATAAAAAAATACAAAGAAATAAAAATATATAAGGGAAACAAAAAACAGGATACCATGGGCCTAGGCCTCCAACAAAGACAACTATGCTCAGGGCCATGCACTTTTGTCCTGCGCCACCAAAGCCAGCAGCAACAAGAGCATTTATGGTAGCACCCACACTTGCATCAGGCATGACAACTGCATGATTTTTGGCTCCAATATTGGACTGGAGGAAAAAAGTCAGCCAGGAGTTGATGTCCGATAATGTTTCATGCCATCCATATAGCCTTATGAAATGAAGTGCACACTTACAAAAGCATTATTTACATACCTGTACACGTTTTCCTTTAGCTGATGCTCTTGTATATACAGAAGCACTAACCTGTAAGAACAAAATGACAAGATTAAAATACTCTTCAACAGGACATTCGAACAAGGGAATTAGAATGTTATTTGTTGTAAGTTAAACCAAAGAGTTTAGTTGTCACCCAAGGAGCAAACAATCAAATAATAAATCCAAAATCTTGAACTTGACTGTTGAATAACATACATTAAGGTGGTGTTGATGCACGGCAACCGATTACCTCTGCAATCATTATCCTTCCTCTGGTACAATTTAGAGGTGGGAAATCGAAGAGGGTAACAATTACCCCTTCCCCCTCCCTTGGTGGCAAAATGAGTAAAAGTTGCCCTGAACAATTTCCATCCAACTATATATTTACACACATTCCTTTCTTTCTGTTTTCTCATCCCTAGGATTTTTATCTCTTTCCACTAAAAACTTCTCCTTCTATTTATTGACAAACCAAACATCCTTATAACTTTCACTCAGTTGCAGCGTTACAGGTATTCCTATAATATATTTTCCTACAGCAATTCACCTACACTATTTTAACTTGGAACCAAAAGCAGCCTAAGCAGTAACTCATTAATTTTACCAAAGTTAACCAACAAAAATCAGTGGATCCATCCACACATATAATATAACTTGCAGAAAAATAGCAAATTCTGTGATAATGTGCACCTAAATGAGGCAGATTCAGCAACTTACTGCAAAAATTTTGACAAGTTGAAATTACTTACAGTATTTGGGCCGACAAATGAAATAGCTTTAATATCATCATGATCACAAATAGCATTAATAATTTCCTGCCCATATCAATGTTAGAAAACGAGAATTAAAAAATGAGAAAAGTCACAGCAATCAGAATTTCAGGGCTCATGGCACAAATATATAGTAAGTTCAGTTCAGTTAAAAGATCATATGAAAACAAGGATGCGTATTAGACATAAAAGAAAAGATCTCATTTTTCACACCTTCAATTGAAAAAAACTTAGTTAAAAGCAAATGCCAAGATATAGTGTTTTGTTCAGTGTATTTTGTTCAATCCTCTTATGCCATTCACATGGTCTACAAAAGCCACGTAATGATGCAAGCAATACCCTGTATTCAATTCTTAAACTGGAAGTAAAAGTGCAGAACCAAAATCAAAGTCAAACCTTACATTGGTGCCATGGACAATATTTAAGACCCCATTAGGCAAACCAGCCTCAATAGCTAACTCTGCAAGCATCACAGAAGCCCCTGAAATAACACCAACCAACATATTGCTAGTAAGATGTGCATGTCCAGTATGTCTGTGTGATAAAAACATCTTACGATTCATATTAAAAACTGATGTAGAAACTCTAATTGACTGCAATCTTGGAAACTGCAAACAGCAAACATGGCACCCCCAAACTTTGACAAATTCTTTATGCGAGTCCTAAAAGTTTATAAACTTTTCAAATCTACCATTATTTCTTAGGAAATGTACATTTTGCGCCGCCAAATATTACTACCATTCTACAAAACATAGCTAGTTTATTTTATTTTTAAATGCACCCAAATAGCATTCCATATTGGCACCCCTATTTATAAAATCCTAGTTCTGCACCTGAACAGTATATGCATGAAGACCTGATCACAAGAATAGCAGATTTTGAATCCAACGGTTTACATCCATAATGTGCACACCAATATAGATTGTAAAAAATCTTTAGATGAAATTAAAATGCATGTTTCTGCTACCATGGCACCATATCAAGAGAATGGAAATATAACACCACCAGGATTAATATGGCAATCACCTGGGTCCTTCTCTGATGGCTTTAGAATAAAGGTATTACCACATGTGACAGCAATTGGAAACATCTGCATACAAAAATAAAAATAAAAATAAAAAAAGCAAAACCATCAGTGGTAATATCTAAACTATACAATTTCCCTTCTACAATTTCCCTTCTCAAATTTCCTGAAGAGCTTTGAAGCAGGAATGGTTTTCTTTTAAAGAAGCAGTGAATTCTAGAAACAAGCTTACCCATAGTGGGATCATGGCTGGAAACTCAAAAGGGCAAATCCCAGCACAAACACCAAGTGGTTCTCTAATGCTATAGGTATCAATTCCATTAGATACGTTGGAAACGAACTCCCCAATCTGCAGAGTTGCCAATCCACAAGCATGTTCCACCACCTCTACGAGGCACATCCAAGACTTTGTAGAGCAAACTATCACGAAATGAGATTTCCCACAGATATCAGATAAAGACACTAACCTAATCCTCGTAACACATCACCGTTTGCATCCTTCAAAGTCTTTCCATGTTCAGCAGTAATGCTCATGGCTAGCTTGTCCTGCAAAAAAGTACTTATAATTCACATCAATTGGATAGATATGCAGGACAGAAGTATATAAATCCAAAAGTTTACAATATCTCTCTGAATAAGCTCTTGGAACTTGAACATGATGCGTTGACGGGTGCTAATAGGTTTGTTTCTCCACTGAGGAAAAGCCCGCTTTGCTGCAAAAACTGCAGCTCTGAACTCCTCATTTGTAGTTATAGGAACTTGAGAAACAACTTGCTGTGTTGCCTGACATGTTTGAAAAACATAATCATAACAAATGACTTAATAATTATTGATTAAATAACCTTGAATACATAAAACAAAATAATCCTTTTTTGGCACTAAACTTACAGGATTTATGACATCAATGGATGCGAATGACTGTGAATCAACAAGTCTGCCACCAATAAAATTAGGAACCCTCTGGCACGCATTACTTAGTATGTTAAAATCCAGAATGAATATAGTGAAAAATCCCAGCAAATAGGGGCAGAACAAAAGGAATAACTCAAATGGTAGAAATTTCCTTTTGCCTCAAACCCAAGTAGTTGGGATGAGGTTCTGATGATCTAAGTTACTTCTAATTATGTCTGGGCTTACCATAGGGTAGCGCTGCCTCCAAGAAGGCTCAGCAATTGAGAGTTGATTGTTCCTTACAGCAGATTTCTCAGGTCTCAACGACTTAAAATTTCTCACTGCACCAAAAAAATAGCAAGTCAAAATCAATCACCCACTGTAAGGAAATGAGAGCTTAAAAAAATGCCACCCACCAATAGACAATTGTATGCAATATTCTTCAACAAGATCAAAAGATTTTGTGATGCTTTATTGCTTAATGTAGTTAGAAATATATCATGAAAGTATGTTCCCAAGTACCACTAAAGACAATGGGGACTCTGAGCAAAGAAGTACTGCAGAAACAAACTTAGAGTAAACAGCCAAGAACTCTCAAGTCTCAACTCTCAACTTACGAGTTTTCATGGCAGGTGTGGGAACCATGACTGATCACTGGCCAAGTAGCACAGGATAGAATTATTTGGGTCAATTAGATACGGTAAAACTGTTACACTCTCAAGAGTAATTCTCTCATGGCGATAAGAGATGACTTAGAGGCTGACAACAATAGCTACTTAATTCAGTGTAGCAGCCTAGGTACAAGTCAATGGTGGAGTAAATAAAGTCTGCCAAGGTTAAAAAATTTTCAATCAAATCTGCAACAACCGAAAATGAATTTGTGGAAAATGAATAATTAATTTCACATTCATAAAACTCAGTCAAAAGAACCAACATCCCAGAAATAGAATAAGGGTAGGGTCATAGTCTATAAATGACAAACTTAAGTCCTGAACTGATGATTATATATTCAAGCAGCCAAAGTTACAGTGCATGAAGTTCATAAAGGTCATACTTTTTTTTTATTATTACTTTTTTATTTTTACTTTTTATTCTTTTGCTCTGAATAAGGTTAGAGTCCAGCTTCATTGCATTAAGAAATGAAGGTTTCACAATGACAGATTGCACACATTTCTTATGTTACTACAACAAATAGACTACCCTACAATGTAATAAAAAAATCTCCTAGCTCTTTTGGTTGAACACTTGAAAACTATTTGAAAATTATTTAAAATAGAAAAAAAAAAGTTGAAAGCAAAATGCAGTTGCCAATGGCAATTTAAAAAAATAGAAAGAATAAGTGTGTCTGATAATAAATATATGTAAAGTAACTCCACCTGTCAAATTTCCTTGTCGAAGTTTGGCTTTAACATTGTAAACATGCTTTGGAGTGGACAAAAGTTCTGGATTGCTTTGTCTCAGTCGCTTGAGAATCTGGCGAGGTTTTAATCCAGCTTCTGTCATCTCCTTAATCACCAATATCTCGCTCTCAGAGAAGCGACGAGCCGAAGGATGTTCCGTAATGTCCTTCAATGGCTCATGGTTGTGTATTCCATTTTTAATAGTAAGTACCCACAACCCATCATCCTTCTTACCCACAGCTTCAAAAGGACAGTTAGTAAGCCGAGAACCAGTTCTTTTTCTGCGCTTCCGTTCGGCTGAAGACTCTTCATCAGCTTTCCTCCTATTACGGTAAACGCCTCCCCTATCACAACCAAGTACCACTACTCTATCTCTCTTAGACTGCTTGATAGTTACAACATATCCTTGAGATACAGCAAAGTCTCCAACATGCTGTATAAGTTCTTCGCGATCTACGAAAGTTCCAGGAGAAGGTGGTAGCATCTGCAGTTGAGCTTCATCCAATCCACTTCCGCTACTAGTCTGAATATCCATCATTAATATACAAACAATACGACCTGCAATGAAGCATAATATTTACCACATAAACATATCTTCGAATTCGGATGAATTGTCTTTCACAATTGCCAAGACAGTTCTCTGCCTTCTCATACAATAAAGCCAGGAAAAACTTGACTTGAATTCACTTTCTTTTTATACAAAGGGAGCAATGGCATGGTCTCTGAAATCACAATTTTAATTAATTTCCAGTTCCAACATTTTCAAAGTAACCAAACAGGAGCAGCAAGTAGGAAAAAAAGTATGTACAAATAGTGCCAGGTAAAACAATCAACAAATTTTAAAAATTAATTAACATTTTCATTCTCCTTTAATTTCTCTCGTTTCTCGGTAACCAAACAGAACAAATGAAAATTAAGCGGAGGCTTACCGGATAAATCGATCGGACGGAATTGACAGTGACGGACGTCCGGCGAGTCAAGGGATTTTGGACTTTTTATGGTGCGGAGATCGATGTCACAGAAGAATTACGAGCCGTTTGTTGAGGAAGTGAGTTAGGAACTGCAATTAGCTAGTTTGGGGGAAAACCGAAGTCTGTGTTTGGCTTGAGGATGTTGAGGTTCGAAAACTTGGGGAGCGTGCAGAGGATATAACGGCGTTTTTTCAGTTTCAAACAAACAGCGCTTTCGAAGGAATGTTGGATTAGGCAATTAGCAAAATTACTTGTATCGCCTGTTAATTTATTAGTTACTGAGTGCAAGTATTTACTGCTATTGGTTTTCCAAAAATTTAATTAATCATTTCGTAATTGTGTGGCTTGAGATTTACGATTGATAGATTGCCGTTACGAGTCTAAAAGTGAAAAAGAGTGTTTTCCTTTCCGTATTAAGTTATTGCAACTAAATTACATTTTCTTAGAACACAGAAAATTGGTCCAATCATTTTATAAGTTTACTAATTACTACAAAATTGTTATAGTTACAAATGACGAAGTACGTACAGTCTTACTTTATTACTTCATAGAAGAAAAAAGTATTACTCTTTTTTATTTTATAAATTATTTTGAGTGATTACAAACTAATTAATTAACACTTGAATTTATGTATCTTAAACTTTATTTAACTATCTCTTAAATTTGAAAAACACTAAGCTTGTTGTAATTTCAAATATATTTGGTAAACACCAATTAGATTAATGTTTTAATTTTCTGTTGTATTCTGCTTCTTAACTAATAAGTAAGAATCTAGAAATAAATAATTTTAGAGATAATGATTTTAAATTTAAAGATAACTATTTTAAAAAAAAATCGGATTAAATGAATAAATATAACTAAAACTAAATATGTAAATCTTACTTGATGAGAAATATGTACAATTGCGATGATTGTTGCAGTTAGACGATTCTTCTATCACATGTTTTATAAAAATAGTCATGATCAATGCATATATAATTGAAATATGATAATTGCAATCATCATCGACGTAGATTTAATTATCATCCCTAAAAACAAGTTAAAATATATTGTTAAATTGATGACAAATACTTTGAATATGGCAAAATACTAATGTTGCATATGGATTTAAATTCCACTAGCAAAAGAAACACGAGAAAGAGTTAAAGCATTCTCCTAGCTCTTCTCTTTTTTCCTTTTTCACCAACATGTAGGGTTTCGTGGCTCATGATCATCGATTTACATATACATGTTAATTAACTCATTTTATAAATTATACAGGCAGTATCAATATCACTAGCAAACAATTTTTTATTTTAATTTAACCGTAAAATTTTTAAAAAATTTTTTGGCTATATTTCCATTCAAATTGGACTATTTCTCGTGCAAAAAAAAAAAAAACATCCTTCTGTAGAAAACTTAATGTTTTCTTAAATGATTCTAAAAGTTTTTAATTGAAAACATCCTATTGTTGCTGTTGTTGGTCGAATTTACTATTTCAAGAGTCAAAGAGCCGGATTTTCAATCAAACCTACAAATTTTAAGAAAATCGAAAATTTCAAACTTCAAGTTTGACAACTCAAAACTTTTTTTTAAAAAAAAAAAAAAAAAACCACGACTTATATTGATTTTGACGAGAAATCTCATTTTAAAAAAAAAAAAAAAAAAAAAAACCCTAAAAGAACTAAACTTTTTACTACTCATTTATTGTAGCTACACTCATTAATACTATTCATTGAAGCCTTGTTTTTGTGTAATTTTTACTTTTATATGTAAATTATACAACCTTTTAGGTTTTGGCCTTTAATATTTTTAATCTTTTATTTCTATTCAGGATTTATTTATTTTTATTTATTTATTTATTATTATTATTTTAGTTGTTCAGGAGTCAGGACCCAAGAGTTGGAGAATCAGGCCCGAGTTGAGCTAGCCTCACTTGCAGCCTGCTGAAGTAGGCTCAGGCGCTCAAGGCTGGCCTCACACGCGGGCCTGACTAAGCAAGCCCAGGCTTGCTGCCCTGACCTAGCACAGGCTTGGCCTGTTTTTTATTTTATTTTATTTCTCTTTCAAGTTTCAACAATTTATTTTTATATTTTTTTCATGTAATTGGGTGTGAAAATTATAGAAAATATATTTTTATTTTTTTATTTTTATGATGAAATATATATGATATATTTTAAGATCTTATGTTAAACACACACACACACACACATGTGTGTGTATTACTCTTATTATTTAAAATTTATTTCTTCAATTTATCATCTCTTATCATAATTCTCATAAATTTATTTTTAAAATTTTTTTTTATAATTTTATTTTTTAAGAAATATGGTTTGTTTATATATATGTGTGTGTGTGTGCGCGCGCGCATGTGCATGTGTGTGTGTATATATTTATTAGTTTTATTAAAAGCTAACTTTGTATCGCACACATAACACCACCGATTTATTTTTTATTTTATTTTTTTATGTTCTAAAATCATTTCAAATAAAACAATTGAAATAATGTTTTGAAATAACGTTCCAATTATTGAAATACGACTTTTTAATCCTAATATTATTGATTATTTTGTTAATAAATATATGTAAATCAAACGATTTGGCTTAATAAATAGATTCAATTTATATTAATTAGCAAAAATAAGACTTCTACCCATATTATATCATGCGAATTGTTGACTCTATACATGTAATGATTATCCAATCGTAGTCTAACATGAACATTCAACTATTTATAATCTAAACTAAATTGTTGATCAATTAAAACACCATCTCAATTGATTAATATCAAAAATATAATATTAATCAATAAAAATTCTTGAGAAGTTCTTTTTTTAAATCATCTTACATATGCTTATGCTTTTAGTTAGGGTTCGTGTTCGTTATCTTTATGCTTGTTTAGAAATTTTTTCCTTTAATAAATTTTTGAAATTAATCACTCAATGTGGTATTTTTATCGATCAACGGTTTAACTTAGATTGTAATAGATTTTCGAATCTCGTCGAAATCAATTAAAGTTAAGATTTTCTTTTGTGTGAGAAGTTTCGGCCTTATCAAACTTATAAGGGTGAAATTCAGTTTTTTTAAAAAAAAATTGTGTGCATGTTTTAAGATTCGTTCATTGATTTTTGAAAGAGTAGATTCGATCAACAATAACAACAACAAAAAGTTGAAATATTCAGTTTGATCTAAAATGTCACAAACCGATATCAAATATCAAATGACAATTTTAAATCATTTAAGAAAAAAGAAGTATTTAAGCATTTAGATTACATATCAGATATGTGTCAATACGTTTGATTTAAGCCTTTTGGCCGTAGGTATTAATAAAGAAAATTAAGTAGCCGTATTAACCAAGTCCAAAGCCGTACAAAATCTCTTTACATGACAAGAACGATGACCCATACGGTTTGTCTTTCCAATTAATTGCATTCTCATGGTGACTTATTTATTGAAAATAACACCCACAAACATGAAAAACCAAGAGATGGCTAATTTGTCTATAATAATTGGCATCATTCTAAACGATGTAAACTTAAATTTCATTTCTATTATTTGCTAAACCAGGGTCCATACTAGAATGCAAATGAAAAAACCTGTGGAAACGGAGATTGGCTGTCCAGCCTCTTAAAGACAATAGAACGTTAAGTACCAAAAAAATTTGGCTTTCTGGTGCTAGGGAAGTGACTATTTTACCTCTGTTAATGTTACATCATTTCAGTCACATCCATACATTTTCTATAAAGCAATTTCTGCTTCATAGCTTGAGGTTATGATGCCTGATTAGGTTTTCTAAATTAATTTGAAAAGGCTACTAATATTCGTAGGGTTTTAGTAGTTAAGGGTCGATACCAATGCCCTGGGTATGGACTGATGTGAACCCCAAAGATGAAGGTTGACGTAAACCCCAAAGATGAAGGTTTCAAGACCCAACACGTAGACTAAAATCATAGGAATACAAGAAACCTAAATCAGATTTTAAACACGAAAACTTTGAATTGGTCTATAGAAAAGACACGAAACAAAAATATAAGGAAGATATTAACGCTACACTCTAAAAAAGATGAGAACGAAAATTACAAGTGGGGTTTGGAATGTCGCAAGAATTAACAAATTCTCGATAAGTTCTGCACTTCTAATAAAGAATTCAAAGAGAGGCACTCTCAAAATCTTTATTTTCAATCCCTCTTTTAAACTACAAATGATATATTTATTTATAGGCTGAAATGACAATCTATGACAAACTAATAGACTAGAATGATTAAAATTCTACAACTATAAATATTGCCTAGAATCCATCAAAATGGTATAAATATGGTCTAGAATCCAACAAAATTGACTTAAATCCAACAACATTAATCTAGCCCATGTTTACAAGTCACTATTTTGACTTTGAATGCAAGCATAATTTCGAACAGAAGACTCATAATTCTAGCCTAGAAAGATCAATCAGCCTCTTCCCATGTTTGGATGAGGTTCATAAAGCTTGAACTCTTCTCCAAGCTCATCATCTTCATGTTGATCGGCCCATTTAAATTTTAAAGAGTCCATATTTTTTCAATCAGCCATTTGTTCTCAATCACAGACAGTGGATTATTAGAAAATAATCAAGTTGAAGTTGGAAATGTAGCTGGAGCTGGGGTGCAACATAAACTTTCATGGGCATTAAAAAAATCAGCAGCCTGAGATTGACTGTAGTTCCAATGATGCAAAGTTTTTTTTTTTTTTTTAAAAAAAAGATCATTAAACATGGGGACCAAAGTACGAAACACATGATGACATGAACAGGGCATGTTATACGATCTACTAAAGAAGAAGCAATCTTAACAAAGAGATTAATCCATAAGCCAATAAAGTGAACAGATTAAACTATACTCAGGAAACAAGAAGAGATCAATAACAGACAGGGAAATGTACTGTATGCATAGTAATAGTCCATCTTTACTTCCCTAAATTGTTTTATACTATCAAGTGCTTCCATGATAAAATGCATTTACAGAATCACATTACTACATTGACCCCAATGACATTAAAGAAAATACAGATTAAATGCTTGATTTCCGATTCTTATATCATTTCTACAAATGGCTTATTTCACTATGATCAACTCAATACAAGTCGGTGAAAACCTGCACTAACCAATTATTCAAGGTGCCATCAAGAACTCACAGAACTGAAGTGTCCGTGTAATCAAGGGAGATATTTGGCACGTTTTTGATACCATCATCCATGGTGGAACAAAGAGAGATCGTACTTGCACCGAACCCTTCAAATTGATCCACTTCATCACTTTTCACATACTGCCTCAACTTTTCTCTCAACAGTCTCAAATTCTCCTCCAATTCACTTCTTTCAGACTCGAGTTTAATTATGTCCCATTGCAATGATTCCATCACTTCTTGCTGAAATTCTTGCTTCTGTTCTGCCAATTGACGATACTGTTTGGCTTCGATCTCCGCTGAACTCTTTTCATTTTGAAGCCTTAAAATCATTGCCATAGCCTCATCAGCTGCTGATGCAGTAGCCATTCTCTCTTTCTCGAGTTCTGCATAAGCCATATCTGCTCTCAGCCTCTCAATCTTGACCAATCTCCGCAGTGCTATCACATCATATTCTTCATCTTCGACACTACGTTCTCTTTCACAATCATCATCAAGAACACCATCATTGGCAACTTTCTTTCTCACTAATGAATTGTCCTCATTTTTTGCTTTTGAATTCCCCAACAAATCCAGTGAACTATCAGTGCAAGACAGAATCTTTGAATCACATAGTCTACCAAAATCCAATTTTGAACCAAATCCATTTTTAGGATCACTTGATTTCGCCCGAAAACCACATAGAAACTGAATCAAACCCTTTCCATGCCAAGTAAACTGTAAAAACCTCAACCCTAAACAAAACATCAAAAACAGCCACAAAAGCTTGAAAACCGGTGAGACATACCTAAACACCAAAAACCCACCTTTGAATCCACTATGCTGATACAAAACCTTCAAGCATGATACACAATCCATCAAAAACAATCCCAAAAAAGCCTGCAAAATTCCCTTGTACAATCCAAGAACAGAGCAAATTACAACCAACAAACAAACACAACCCAGAATCTGCATGCGGGGTCTAGCACTCGTGAAATCCTCTCATTCAATATCCTTCAATTCAACGTCAAACCTCTCAAAATCTATTACCATGACAGATTAACCAATGAATGGTCATCAAATAGGGAAAAAAAAAAATTTAGGATAAACAAGAAAGAGACGGAGGATATCCCAAAATTCAATTAATGTGTTGATGCTTTAAAGAGTAAAAAAATGACTACATTGGCAAGTAGAAGTTTTGTTGTTAGTGACGTTCTATATTAGAGAGAATACCTTAAAACAGAGACAGATAAGAGAGAGACTGGCGTGCGTGGATAAGCAGGGAGTGTCCGGGTTTGTGAGTGGGAGCGAAAGAAGGGTATATATCGGGAACCGGACTATAAGGCGAGAAATTCGAGGGATATCCTTTCCAGGAAAACAATTATTATTGTAGTTATTACATTTCCTCATGCTTGGTTGATATTTTTTCCATTTTTACCAGTAAAAGTCCTTTTTTTCTTTTTTTCTTTTTTCTTACTAGTAATGGGAATTATTCAATATATATATATAGAGTTGTATTCATCCCACTCACAATAAGTGGGATGTATCTGATTAGATTTACCATAATTCGGTATCAATTTCCATGTTCATATAAAACGATCTAATAGGAAACTTTTATCTCTTGTTATGGGAATTGGGTTAATGGATGCAAGTATTTTTATTCTTTCTTTTTTTTTACTATTTCTTTCGTTTTGATTATGTTTTTTTATATTTGATTTATGTCTTAAATTCATTTATCAGTTAACTTTTTGAGCTAACAGTTTTAAATCACACCATTGACCCACATGATTGCAATACATGTCAATTTTTAATCTTGTTTTTTTTTTTTAGTGAAATTAAAAAAAAACTGAAAAATGAAGATAAAAAATATGTTTTTATTCAAAATATTTTTTATGGGTTGAAATTTATATATATGTTAGTGAGTAAATCTTGAGTATAAACTGAAACAATTGTATTTTTTTTTTTAAACATCAATAGAGTTTTAGTTAAATTTTTAAACTTTCTAATGGTATTTATAATTTTATAATACCTTAAAATAATCTATTATAATTTATTTTCATTTTTAAACTTTGGGAATATAAGTATTGTTAAATTTATTTGAGATTGTTTGCTCAAAACTGGTTAAAAGACTATAAATACCATTCAAAAATTTAACTAAAACTCTCTTAACATTTTAAAGAAAGTGCTATAAATATTTTATTTTACATTCTAAATTAGCTCACTATTATAAAGATAAATATAAACCTATAAAGGATATTTTGAATAATTTTTTTTTATCTTTGCTGTTTTTATTTATTTTTAATAAAAAAATAAAAAAATGAGATTGAGAAAAAAAATGTCATGTGTTGCAATCCTGCAAGGTTAATGATATTATTTAACATGGTTAACTCCAAAAGTTACCGAATAAAAGCTGCGACCCGCGGGGGAGAAGGATAATTGGGCAATGCAGCATGCCCCCCACAGACCACCACCACCACCCACCCCCAACAAAAAAAAAAAAAAACATTTTGAAAAAAAATTACTTATATAATATGTTGTTATAACAACCCTAATAGGTTGTTGACAAGTGTCAACTCAACCTATGCTATACCGCACAATAATATTTCCTCTCACTGAAATTATTTTTTCTTTTTTTCTCTCCACCCCCAAATTTTTACTTTTAACTTATTCTTTGTAAGTCTATTTATATGCTAAATCCCAGCATCATTATACTAAAAAGGCACAAAGTTCATCAAAAAAATACTTTCTATTTTTTAAAAAAGAATTCAAATTTATATATGATTGTTTTGTGAAATGATATTTTTAGTATTTTTTTTCTTATATGTTATATTTTATTGACAATGAGTAAGTGACTAAACATGATGAATTATATTTTGATGCATATAATTGTTATAGTTTAATGTGTATATTTTAAGATTTTACTAAATACTAGAATTATATTATTTATGACTTGCATGATGATTTATTGTCTTCTAATAAGAGGTTAGTTATAATGAATTATCTTTTATGCATAGTGTCATAACCTATTTTTGACCACTTTATAATTATTTTATTTTTTTACTAAAAAGTTACATATTGCATAATTTTTTTGTAACCCCTGTCAAATTTTTACACATATTAAAATGTTTCTAAATATGTTTATATGAAGTATAAGTAATAGTATGGATGGGTTCAAAAGAGTTTTTTTTTATGACGATATGTTCGACGATTACGTCGAAAATAATGGAAGGAAACGTTTCAGATAATTTAGGTAATTATCCTTTGGGGTATTTCTAAGTGTTTGGAATGCATGATAATGATAAGAAATTTATTTTACAATTTTAGGAACATTGAGATTTTCTTTGGGAAAATTTCTGAATTAATTAAAAGAAATTTTCTGAAATATAGAGCTAGATTCTGTCCAAAGAGAGTGATTTCTAGGTAAAACTCAAAGAATGAAAGTTGTTCCTCTATGTGTTGACTAGCTCTCTGTAAAATTTCATAATTTTTAGACCTACACATTCAGACTTATGTCCATTATGGTGAGGATCGTTTTGAAATGTACTCTGCTGGGATTTCGAAAAAGAATTTCAAAAATCCCAAAATAGAAATTCCATAATTATATATATATATATATATATATATATATATATATATATATATAAACCAATTTGGAATGAGTTAGCTGAGACCAATTAGACACCTAGACTCACTTATTAATTACACTTGATGACTCCTTATTTCTTTTAAGCTAAACAAGCCACATACCCCCCTAATCACCATTTACTTTCCACATTGGTTCATTATTTTAAGACACTTGTACCATGAAATAATTGAAATGAAGGCTAGTATATAAGCTGCAAAAGTGTGATATATGGCTGATTTTAGGAGTGAAAACCGTAGCTTACCACAAAAAATGGGAGAAACCAATTGTGAGGGAGTGAAACACGGCAAAAGAGAGGAAAGAAAGGAAAGAAAAAGAGAAAGGGAAAAAGGGAAGGAAAAGAGCTACATAAACTCTAATCAAAACCTAAACTAGGTAAGTAGGTTCCATTTTTTTTGGTTGATTAATGTCTTAAATTATTTTTTTAAATTATTATGTTAGTGTTTATTTCATGGGTTTATAATAATTTTCAATGGTTATATGCTTGATGTTTGGGATGAATCTATGTATGGATGCCTTGTTGTGATGATTTATGATATTTATGATGTTTTAAAAAATGTCCAAGTATGTGGTGATGGGTTGGATTGGACTTAGACTAAATTTAAGTGAACTAAACATGTTTAAAGTTGGCTTGAAATGAACTAATAAATTAGTGTTGATAAGGAGTAAATTCTATCCGAATTTTGGGATGCCTATTCAAGGATTTTAGGTCGATTTCTAGGTGAAACTTAAAGAATAAACTTTGTTCATCTATGTTTCAACTAACTTTCTTTAAGATTTCTTAGTCATTGGATTCGTGTACAAAGAGGTATACCCGATTTAGTACGAACATCCCTAGACAAACTACTACTAGGCAGATTGCTCCCTAAGTTTCAAAATTTTATAATAAATTGTGTACTTGGTATTTCAACCTAATTTTTAGATATGTTATAAATAAATATGTCTAGTATCTAAAATAAAATGGATAAGATTTAATTATGTTCAAAAGTTGGAAAATTATTTACTCGATTAGAGATTGCCCGGTAATAAATCCTAAAACCCAATAATTAGACATGGACAAAATTAATGGACGTGGATAAAATAAAATGAAATTGGATAAAGTCAATGGACTTAGGATTAAGTTCGTAAACTTGGATAAAGTTAATGGGCATGGAATAAATTAAATGGACTTGGACTAAAATCAAAAGGTTTGGTTTTAAAGTCGGCTTAAACTAAAAGAAATGAGCTTTGACTAAAATAAGTGAAGCTTTGACTAAAATAAGTGGACTTAGATAGAAATAAAAGGGATTTAAAAATTCTAAAGAAAATTTATTCTTTTAGAGAGGAAATAAGGAAAATATTTGACCGTCTTTTAAATATTAATGAAACTAATGAACAATATTAACGAGCGAGAGGTTGTGTCCCCGCTATGAGTACCATGATTGGTATGTGAGCGACGGGTGAATCCCGAGTGTTGGTTGGATCGTGAGTATGGTTTGAGAAAGAAGACTTGGCACCCGAGTTTGGTTGAATGTGATTAAACATGTCATCAAGTGCATCACGTGCATTAAGGGTGGAATAAATTGAGAAAAATCATTGAGTCATGAAATGAAACGGTTTGGTAAGCGATTTCAATGGAATGGGTAATAGCATAAATCTATGTGCGTGCTCTATTACTAACACCGTTAAGCGAGGGATAATTTCGCTAACCGTGTGCTACAACGAGGGGTAATTTCGTTGTGAGCAGTAGGTGATAATGAGATTACTAAGAGAGAGTAATAGAGCAAGTAGGTGATAATGCGATCACCGAGAGATGGAACGCACACACTTGCTAATACCTAAGGTACTCGAACTAAAAATAGATGGGTAGAATGGAAAACAAAAACTTCGTTGCATATCACATGCATCACCCTACTTACCGAGCTTCGGCTCACCCCGTTATTATTTTAATGTCGTGACAAAAAAAGAATAAGTTGGTACGGATGCGGTCGGCTCATGTGAGGCACCATATATTAATTTTTATTTTGTCTATAAATTTATGGTATGGAGTTCATGAGAAATTGAATATTGTTTGTAATGTTTTATTAATATATTTAATTATGTTATGTAAATTTTATCTTAAGGAATTATATACGTAATGTGCTCGTTAAAGTTTTAAGAATATCATAAGAGAACTACTTAGAGTTTAGGGTTTGTCGGCGTAACGCGCTTCGTCCAAGACTCTACTTGGCTAGTAGAAATATGACGGGGAGGGGATGTTACATTTTTTATCTTTCGATAATTTTTATAAACTTTTAGGATTTAAATTTCTTAGGATTATCCCATAGTTTTAATTAAAAAAAATTAAAAGAAA